CAACTGTTCTAGCAATAAGATAATCTATATGATAGAATGCCCATGTAAAAAGAAATATATAGGGAAAACGAAGAGGACTCTTAGAACTAGAATTGGTGAACATCTGAGAGATATTAGAAATGAAAATAAGTATAGAAATAATAAAGAGAGAGAAAATCCACTTGCCCAACACTTTAAAGAAGTACATGGGGGAAAAATTGAGGGCTTAAAGGTCAAAGGAATTTTCCAACTAAATATTTCAGCTAGACGAGGAGACTTTGACAAAGTTCTCCTCCAAAAGGAAAAATATTGTATATATTCTCTTAATACATTAGTCCCCTATGGACTAAATACTGAACTCAATTTTAAAGTATTTTTGAACTGAGTTAGAGAACTACCTTAATATTTAAAATATATCCACATCGCCATTAGGGTTAAAAAATTATTGATATAAGTATGTCTTTTAAAGGTGATCCTCTTTTTGATAAACAAAGGCCTCTCCATAAAGTCACCTTAGAGTATATATTTTTTGCATAATTTTTGATTTTACATGTAATGATGCTTTTTCAACACAAGAGGGCGACATATACAACGTTATATGTAGTTGGGGCACTATATAAGGCAATGGAATAACAGTCCCCTCCCAGTTCTGACGAAGTCTGCGGTGATTGGCGGACGAAACGCGTCAACGTGATGTCATCATTACGCTCGGCGTCTCCATAGGGTGCGGTGCCCACGAAGAAGGAAGAAGCGGTTTGCTTCAGCTCCACATTTGAAAGGCAGGAGACATTGAAATCACGATGAATACACCATCATAAGCAGCCCGCACATGGTGATCTTGAGACACAGCATACTTCCACCGGTGGCAAGTTATTAGCCATGTAGTATATTGAGGCTTGAGCCCTAATTTGTATATGAGGTATATCTTTACACCTCTGAAAAACCTGTGCTTATTTGTACCTCAACATTGGGGGAATTTTTTGAACTCCCATTGGAGTAATACGTATTTAATACGTTATATATGTGCTGTGGCATGTGAAAAAAGTCTCATATATCCATTAGGATTACATTACTTCCTCATCATTTGAGCAATTTTTGGAAACCCAGCTTCGGGTATATATTTCACAGTATATTTAGACTGAGCTATATCAGTCTGGACTGTATATATTCACCACCTGGCTTCCCACCCCTGCATTCACTTTTTTCATCAAGACCTGATTGTACTTCAAGTGGATTAAGTCCTCTTGATCTTCTACATGGTAATATTTAGTTTTTTTACCTCTATTTATTTTTATTCAGGTATATGCTTTTTTGTCATTAATGTTTCACATTTATACACCTCTTTAGAATCATCTATTAACGTGGATACACTTTCATCTGGGGTGGTTACCCAGGAAGGCCATATATCCATCCTTCAATGATGGTCAAGCTTTTGAGAAGGTAATGATTTAAATATACACTAGCTATGTGTCTGCTGGGCTGACCTATTTGCCCAGTATATTTACCCTATCTCAGTTCCACCTACTATGAGCTCTCTTTTTTGGTTTTTCCATTTCAGGAAGTCATTCCACTCACTGAGATTATTACCATAATGGTTCTTGAAGAATGATCTCCCTATATGCTGATTTTCTATGGAAAATATGGAAAATTCTTTGATCTAGTAGTTAGGAACTCTATTGCCTTATGTGGATCCTCAATTGCCGAACAACCACATTATTTGGAGACGCCGAATGTTTTTTAAGTGATTTTATTATTACCTGTTTACCATATCTATGTCTAACCTCTATATGATCCATGTGATCGAATAAAGTTTTTTGAATGATATTACTCCGCTTGGATTTTCAAGTAACCACTTTTGTTTGAGCAGTACTGCATCTGTCATACTGCTATTTTTTGTTAGGTACGTATTGGGTTTATAAATCCACACTAATTACGAGTGAGACAGAGATATTAATATGACATATTTATATGTGTCATACTAGGTGGCTTTTTCTCGTTTGGTTGTCGGTTACAACTTTTAGCCTGGTGACCAAGGCTCTGACACAAGGAACATCTCTGGGTAGGGCACGAGGAAGAAAAATGGCCCTTATCACCACACCTGTGGCACAGCTTCGGCTGTCCCTGATAAAAAATAACTATACGGTCTCTACCGATGAAAGCAGAGGATGGAATGTGCTGTACTACATTCTCGTACACTCTAAGCTTAACATGGGCAGTTCCACCCATCCATATGCCCTTTTCATCAAGCACTTTGCCCAAGGGACCCAACACCTCACCATACCTCTTCAACCAGACCATCACGTCTGCAGGGGAATGGATTCATTTCTAACTAAAATAGTTATGTTTTTAGTTAGAGGCTGCCTAGATACCACTCTAGGTGACAGACCCTCCCACTCCTTGGACCGTTTGTAGATATGATCATATCTCTCCCAAAATAAATCAAGACTTTCCAGTTTAACAAAGGATAAATCAAACTCAACAGACCCAACCGGGTTAATCAGGGAAAAAATATCTGCTACTTTGAATCCCATTCCCAGAATTTTATCTGCCACAGAGGCCCTGGTGGGGGGAGTACCAACCCCCCGTCCACCTCAACTGAACTACATTCCTCCTGACAAAGGAGCCCCCCCAACATTGGCCGGGTACCCAAGGGAGGAACCCGCAGGGGGGCCCCCCTCTTACCCCACCAAGAGCAGCCGCATAACTAACCACGGGCTGTGCACCCCCTGACACTGCACCAGTGTATGAGACCCCAGTGACCAGGGAACCCCTGGGAGCTACATTCCCCCCCACCACTAACTCCCGCTGCAGCTACATCCGGCTTAGCAGCCTTAGCACTCCCAGGCAGCACATCCAACCCACCACCCAGAGAACCAGCGTGGCCAATGGCCAACACACCAACAGACGCTGACACACCTGCAGTAAGGGGGTTACTGACTTAGGGTTATCAGATACCAGTGCGGGGACCGTATCCCCACTAGCACCTGAAACACCAGCATTAGATAAACATTCAATAAATTTAGATACAGTACCATCCTTAGCAGTCTTTAGATCCATGCTCACAGCCTTCACTGCAGGCAGACAGGGAGCTAATTCACCCTGCTCATCACACACCTGTGTGGAAACGCCTCCCTCTGTAGCCAGCCGGAGTCTGAACACAGTTTTTTCTTTAACCCTTTCCTTGGGCTTCCGCAGAGTACTATCCATCCCTTCTTCATCCGAAGATTCCTCACTGAATTTGAATTTCCTTCCCCCCAATGGGGACTCCAATTCACGGATGAACTGCAGGGTCCCCACACAATCATCCTGATCCTCAGCCTCCGATTCCTGAGCCGCTTGACCAGGTATAAGTAAACCAGATCAGCTCACCTCCAGAGCTGACGCCACCAACACTTCCACTTGCGGTAAAGATTTTCCAGCAAGCTGGCCAACATCTCCTTCAGCAACATCCATGGATTCCACTGAGCGGGACAAGCACGCCTCAGCGTCAGGTGCCTCAGCATTTTTCCTCATTGCCATGAACCTGGCTTCATTGGAAAATTTTTCTTTAAAGCAGCCACTTGTTTCATTCAAAGCTGCGACAAGCACCACTTGGTTCTTTACCTTCTCCTCCAAGCTGCTGACCTCTGGCTTGTGTAGAGATCTTTTGCTACTCCAAGCCTTGTCATAAGCGACCTTTTTCTTCCTGAGATCCAACCTCAATTTGGCCAACTTCTCCTCCTTCTTTGCAATACGCAGCAGCCTGGCCACGATCTTACTACGATAAACCGACAGCGGTTCTCCCTTCTTGGGCCACCACCAAGGTCTTCAAATGATGGCACCACTGGAGCCGCACCATAGCTAACGCCATCCAAAGTCTTAGACTTTTCCCGGGACCTCCACCGGGCCTCCCCCAGGATCCTGCATGCTTCCTGGATTATAGCTGGGACTCTAGGTCCTAGCATTGGGCCTACGCTTGGAGCTCAGCAGAGCACACTCCAGTGCAACCACTCCCACCATCAGGAAAGGAAATTTTTTTATTATGTATTGATGTCATACATATCCATCAAACTTATGTATATAAAAGTACAAATATAAATAAATACAAAACTCAACAGAAAAGAAACTAAAAAGTCCCAACAGTCCCTGGGGGAAAAAAAACTCAAACATAGCCTGAACGGCTCATAAATAAAAGTCCATAACCTGAAAGGAAAAACTAAAAACTATACACAGTATTTACAAGGCCTTTATGGCCGAGACCATATAATTAGGAGCCTTTATGGCTCAGACATAAACATAAACCATATGCAGTTTCCATATTCAAACCTGCCGCTTACGGCCTATATGGCCTAAACTATATATACAAAAAAACCTAACCACACTATTATATACACTACGGGGGAGGGCTAAGGAACCCGCAGGCCTTCCACGTCTGACCCCTACAACCTACCATGCAAAAGGCTACCAAAAAGATCCGAACGCAAAATCTAGGGAGTGCAGAAGGCAGAAACTAGGGACAGATCCCACCACCTGAGATCAACAGACCGCAGCAACAGGCTTGATGTTCCTCCACGCCTCCATCCAAGCTCTGCGTCGCAGCCTGTCTTTCTCAAGACCCCGAATTTTCCCCACCTCACCAAGGATGTCACTCGCCACCACCTGAACAGGGAGGACCTTCTGCCGAATGGAGACCTGACACCGTGCCATCCAAGTGTAATTACGGACAACTAAGCTGACTAAAAACAAGGTGTCCAAATCAAAACCCATGCGACGCTCGAATGCTCCGTACACCCACTCCGCATATGACATGCGATGGAGGAAAGGAACACCCAGAGCCCCTCCCACCTGTTTATACACTTCTACATTAGAGGGGCACTGAAGCGAGAAGTGGTCCATAGTCTCCACTTCACCCCCACACTCTGACCTCAGACAACCACGTTCATCCGGAGGATGGTACTTCAGGTTACCCCTCACGCAGAGCCTGCCGTGGAAGGTGAGCCAGGCCTGGTCCCGCAACTTCAGGGGGATCGGCTCCAGATTTATCAACCGCAAACCCTCCCTCAAAACATGGCCCGGGCAATCTCTCAAGGCCAGCGGCGCATGGAAAGCAGATGCCACAATCCTCTCACCCAGGAGCCTCCTAGGGAGGGACCGGACCTCCTCCGCAGTCACATGCCACCGCCGGAGTAACTTCAGGCACGGGGCCACATAAGCTGGGAGCTCACCATGCTTGACCCGCAGGCTTCTCACTGGCCCGCCACTCTCCCAACTGCGCAGAAAGGGTCCAAACCAGATCCGGAACAGTCCTACCCATGCAGGCAGGCGGTCTCTCTGCCAACATGTTACCAAAGTTATGTTTCAAGAACATCAGAGAGAAAAAAGACCACCGGGTTGACCATACCTAGGCCACCCTCCCGCCTGGATGAGTAAGTCACGTCCCTCTTGACGAGGTTCAGCTGATTCCCCCATAACATCTGGAAAAAAACAGCTATAGATCCTCGTATAGAGCGATTCTGGCAAGAGGCAAACGAAGCTGACGTACAAAAAGACTGGGAGCAGGAAAGTCTTGATCAAATCAACCCTTTCCCTCAAGGAGAGCCGCCACCACCCCTTCCAGCATCTCACTTTGACCTCGACATCCGACAGCTTGGATTCCCAATTTTGCTTGCTGTAATCAGCAGGGCAAAAATTGATGCCCAACACTTTGATGTTCGGCTGAGGCACCGGGAAGGCTTCCGGGAGTGAGAAGCTCTCACCCTCCCTGCCCATCCAGAGAAGTTCACATTTGTCCTGATTGACCTTGGAACCTGATGCCTCGGCATACTGATCCATTACTGAAACCACATCCTGCGCCTCCTCTGGTCCAGAAATGAAAACATAAACGTCATCAGCATAAGCCACAACTCTCAAAGGGGCGGATCTACAGTGGCACCCACCGGCACCCCACTCACCGCCTTGCAATCTAGCCTCCTGACGAAGGGGTCAATGGTAAAGGCATAGAGTAAGGGACTCAGCAGGCACCCCTGGCGCACCCCAGATCCAAACTTCATAGGGCTGCCCAACCCAACCATTCACCAACATGAAGCTCTCAGGCCCTTGGTACAATGTCTTCAACCAGCCGATGAACCTCCCCGTCAAACCATACCGGTCCAGGAGATGCCAGAGGTACTTGTGATCAACTCGATCAAAGGCCTTTGCCTGATCCACCGCCAGCAAGTACTTTCCCCATCCTTCAGCCTTACATCGCTCCAGAGCCTCCCGGACAGCTAACAATGCTGTAAAGGTACTCCTGCCCTGAATCGAGCAATGCTGCTGACGAGAAAGCAAACTGTCTGCCACTGACGACAAGTGCCAGAACAAGATCTTCACCAGAACCTTTCTATCGACATTGAGGAGGCTGATGGGGCACCATTTCTCAATAGCCAAAGGATCCTTACCCTTTGACAGGAGGGATAACTGCAGACTGTCTCATGGAAGGAGGGAGAGATCCTTCATCCAGACAGCTGTTATACACTTCCGCGAGAAGAGCTGCCAGGCAGGATTTAAAAGCCTTAAAAAATTTGGCTGTCAGACCGTCTGGCCAGGAGTCTTTTTAATGGCCAGACTATCAATCGCTCTGGACACCTCTTCTGCAGTAATCTCCCCAGTCAAACTCGCCAGAGGGATATCACTGTCCAGACCGGGCGTGGATTCCAAAAAGCTCAACATCCCTGTCCGGTCAAGGTGCTTCTCACTCAGTAAATCCTCATAAAAGGACCTGGAGACCCTCCAGAATCCCTGACCTGAATTTAGTCAGGGACCCCGTACTATCCCTCAGAGCAGAGATCGTCTTAACTGCTGCACTCTGTTTGCACTTCTGGAAAGGGTCGGGCGAGTGGTATTTGCCATAATCCCTCTCCAGAACCAAAGAGGCACGCCGATCATACTGGAGTTTCCTAAGGAGAAACTTTACCTCAGAGATTGCCCCCCGAATCTTCACCGCTAGAGAAAAAAAGGCAGTCGAGCTTCCTCCGCAACCGCTGGTAGGCATTTATACTGTTTTAAACTGCCGTCTCTTACCAATGGCCTTGAAAAACCTGCTGATCCGCACTTTGGTGAGCTCCCACCACTCAGACTTACTGCCGCAGAAATCCAGCACCATCTCCTGCGCCTGAAAGAACTCCTCGAAAGATCATCTCACCTCCTCGTCCTCAGCAGCAGAGACAAATTCATCCTCCAGATGCGCTTTCCTTTCAGCGGCATCTGAAATATTCAAGGTGACAGATAGCATAAGGTGATCGGAAAACTCCATCGCCCAACACTCAGGTGCCGAGAAGGCAGAGTTCTCCTTCAAAAAAAAAAACCTATATCCTACTCTGGCAGTTACCTCTCCTATAGCTGAAACCTGTGCCGTCTGGGACACTTTGAATCCAAGCATCAACCAGACCTGCCTCCCTGACTATAGCATTTAGAAAACGCTGTCATATCCCAGCCTGTCAGTGAAGCCTCTCCTGTCCTTGGGCCTAGTGATGGTGTTAAAATCACCTCCAAAGACCACCAGCCGGGATGTAAAGAGGTAAGGTTTTAATCCTCGCAAAGAGGTTTCTTCCTATCCCACTTGGACTGTGGGCCATAGATGTTAATGAGACGGAGCTCTTGCCCCCTTACGAGAACATCCAGAATCAGACATCTTCACGTTCTCTACCTCAAATTATCCGCCGACACGTTACCAATGCCGGTAAAAAAGCACTGTAACTCCGCTGTAAGGCTCAGCCGCAAGAGACCAGTAGGAGGGCCACGCCCTCCACTCACGCCTGGCCAGATGGACATCAGCCAAGGTGGGCAACCTGGTCTCCTGCAAAAAGAAAAAATATCAGCTTCCATCCCACTGATCAAAAATAAGGCTGTTTCTCTAGCACTTACAGACTACAGGCTGGCAACATTCATGGTTGCCACCTTTATCGGTGCGGAAACTAGCCAATAAGAGAATTGAGAGGGACTATTTCTTAAACCCTCCTCTTAGCCCCCTTTTGGCAGGATACCCTCTCTCTTTTGAGAGACCCCCCCCGCATCCTCATTCTCCATCCGGGTGTCGATGACCAACTGGGACATATCCTCCTCCCGCCCGATAGAGCCCCCCAAACCGATTTTCCCCAAGGCCACTTCCCCCCCCCACCTACCAAAGTGATGAAACCGACCCCGCCTGACGACAGCACAGGCTTAACGGTGATTTCCAAAAGGGACAACCAGGGAACCAAGCTCCTCCTCCACCCTGCACCCCTCCCGGGCACGGGAATCTTGGGACCCCTGGGACCCCACACACTGCCTCTCCCCTCCCTCTGCAAGTGTAAGAGCACAGGGGGAGCTGTCATAAAATATTGAAAAATAAAGCATATAAACATAAAATAAAATAAATAAAGCACTACCATAAGCCCAAACTAGACCCCTTACAGCCTTTCCTCTCCCCAGCCCCTTTAGCAGCTTCCTTAAGCAGGTTTTTCTTTAAACTCTGGGGGGGGGGTAGGCCCCACCTGAGGGGAGACAGGGGAATCCGACCATATGCCAGATGGGGGCAGAGGCAGCTGCCGCCTCAGCAGGCCCGACCTCCCCTTGCAGTGGGTGGCCACAATCGCCGTGGCCTTCTCATCAACCAGCGCCTCAACTCGCCGACTCTGCAATCCCATCCTGTCAAACACCTGTATCGAAGCTTCCTCTCAGGGAAATTGTGCAAAGCCTCCAGGCAACCTTTTTGGTTTTTTTGTATTTTATGAATGCCCACCTTACCCACAAAGATTGCACCCGTATGACCGTGTGCAGGTCCTTAGCCAGGTGCCCAATTTCTTAGGCACAATGAGCAGGCGCTGTACCGCAAAAGTGGCCACTTTCATTCATCACACAGCTTGTGGCATAAACCCTGGGTTGACCCGCGTATGAATATGACCAGCCGGTCTTTACCCAGGAAGGCGGAAAGAAGGGACGTGCTGTAATAACATTACAACTCCATCTTCAGGCAGAATGGTTGGTAGTCCACCCTCCCGTCCAAATCCCCCTGTTCGTCCAACACTTTCTGCAAGGGCCCAGAGCACCGCTGCCCCAAACCGGCCTAACCCCCTTAAAACACCAGGATGGTCTCCCTGCTGGGATAAATTCATTCCGAACCAGTATGGTTAGTGTTTCTTAAACCCAACGAACTGGTGTGAAATTAAGCTTGGGGGATAAGCCGCCCACCTGGGCCTAAAAGAGTATAGGTGGCCTCAAACCTCTGCCAAAAGAGATCCATGTGTTACTGGCTTCACAAAAAAGATGACATCATACTCCCCCTGTTCCCACAGGGGCTATATAAGCAAAGAGTTCACTATCACTGGCTTTGAAACCCATCTCCACAATTCTGTCCTACCCACTTCCCTCTCTCCACCAAGGGGGGGGGGCCCTCCCCCTGTCCATTTTATCTGGACCACCCCCCCCTCCCCTAGTCCCATTATATCTGGAACAACATTGCGCGTGCCGCAGAGGTGGGTAAGTTATCCCGAACCCCTCACTCCTGGCAGACCCCATTGGTTCCCACAGTACCCCCTAACCTCCTGCTGAATAACTAATAGCAGCCCTGGACCCAGGGGCACCTTGCAGGGGAAGCCCGGAACTGAAGGGACCTCCCACACTACCACCAGGAGCCAGGGGAAGCTGAAACAGGGGGCACGGGAACCCTGAGATCTGTGTTGGCACCCCAATACCTGAGGGGACAAGAAACCTTAATGAACCGGACGTCGCTACTGGGGCCCTGACACCTGAGGATCGGAGACCCCCCAGACACGGGAACCTTGCGCAACAGATCCCCTAGCAGGGGCTTTCTCCCAATCACCCAAGGGGGTCGGAGCCCCACGGGACTGTAACCTCCGGGGAAGAAACCTTCATCCACCCGGACCACTGGGTCAACATGCGCCACCATCCCCACCCTCGGGGCACTGCCTCGCTGCAACACCAGCGGCCCAAAGTCACCTCCACCCGTATAGACGAGCAGAGCTCCTGTCCCAATTACCCACCAGAGCAGTTCACCAAGCCCTTGCGACCACTCTCCATAGGGATCGCACTCAAGCTTCACATACGTATTGGCGGCAGTCCCTGCACCACCGATCTTAGTTAGCCGCTTTCCTGGGAACGAATGGGTTTCGTCACTGTGCCTCCCTTCCTCATCTGACTCTTCCGTCATGAAGCCGGAAGTCCTGATTCACTGAACTCCCGATCGAACTTCCTAGACACAAAAACGGAGCGCGCTCTCACGCTGAACTCGTTCTGCCGCCCTCCACTTGGGGTCTTCCCCCATCGCAACAGGTAGCTGCGGCCCTGGGGGGGAGGGGGGGGGAGGACGCCTGCGAATCAACGCGCCCAACCGCCATCCTGCACATTAGCAGATGCCATGTCTCCTGTCCATCGGAGCAGCATGCATCCTAGTCTTTCCCTTTGCTTTGCACCTTCTACTCCTTCCACCAGCTGCTGTCCTCTGACATGTCCTTCTACAGAAGGAGACCCCTGCCACTGGCCCCCGCAATGCCGCCACTGCTGCGGCCTCCTTTGCAGCCTAAAATCTGGCCCTCATGCAGAGAATTTTCGCCGTCAAGGCCGACACACTTTTTTTTACCGCTGCAGTGCAGCATACATAACGTCCCCTGCTGGGAGACCTGAAGCTCCATGGCCTCCAGGCCTGGCTTCACAAGGCCTGCCTCTTTGCCCTCAGACCAAAACTCGGGCATACGAGGCCGCGGAGCCTTTTTAGCTCTAATGAGAGCTTCGTCGAGCAGCTTAGCTTCCTCGCTCTCAATCAGCCGAGCCCGTAACAACCACACGGTCCCCCGAATATGCGCAATAGGTTTCCCCTGTCTATTTGGGGCTTGGTTCCC